TGATCTTTAAGTAGACCGAGGATTCTGTATCCTAAGGGAACGCTCTTTTCTCCTATAAGCAAGGCCGTAAAGGTATGCTGGCGTGTAAGCGCAATATTGATGTTTTATTTTTACAGTGGAGTTTTTGGTGGCCTGGTGGTTTTTCTTCTGTTGCTGATTTTTTATTTTTTAACAATAAACTTTTTATTTTTATTTTATCCTTTAGAACTTTGCTGAGTTCAGGATGCAAGCTTTTTGCTTATGGATCTTTTCCAAAAAATCCTCTTTCTCTGACTAGCAAGGCCTTTATGGTATGCTGGTGTGTACCACGCGTTATTAAGTGTTGAGGTTTTTACTTTCTGTGTGACTTTTCTTTTATGTCTTAATTAATTAATTTTATTTTTTTTACAATCAATATTTTTCTTTTCTTATTTTATATTATCTTTCTTTTATGTGTTTGTAATCAAACGCAATTAAAATCATTTTCTTCTTAAATTTTTATTATCCTTCGGTTTAATAAATAAATGCAAGTTAAAGGCAATTTATCAAAAATACTAATTAAAAAATTTAATATAAGATTTCCCTTAAAAATTCTTTAAAAGACAAAAAAAAACTATACAGATAATTACTAAAAGTTATTAACATCTTATTAATTGAATAAATAAAAGGAAAGTTTTAGTTTGAAACTATTTTAACCACATCCAATATAACCTTAACAATATTATTTTTGCAATAAAAACAAATTATATCATAATTTATTAAATAACGATGTAATTTATTACAATCATTTGAAAATACACAAGTGATATTTCTATAATAAAATTATTACCTAATAAAAAACAATCAGCAGATATTGTAATTAAATCACTGTTTTTAAATAAATATTTTTATATTCTAAATTAAAATATATGAATGCTAAAAATTTTTGTTAGTGTTTTATAAAATTTATAATTTTTATTTTTTTCTAAAAAATGTCGCAAAATTAATTTATCTTAATCACATTCTATTTGATAAATTTATTTTTCTCAGTATAAAATAAATTAATATATGATAATTTTTAAAATAAAGAAAAATTAAACAAAATGTCAAAATCATTATTTTTTTGGGATCAACAAAGTACATTGGAGTGCTATAAATATATTTTCTCTGGTTATTTTCTGTTTTTGTGTTTGATGACGTGTTCCTTAAATGACTATATAAAAAAAAATAATCTTTTAATTATGATATTTATGAGGGATGTTGATCCTTCCAGTGAATTTTATGAGTTAATGGAGAAAGATGAGATAATAATATTTGAAGATCATTCACGTACATTAAGTAAAATGTGTAGATACATGTCTGAAGAAACTTGTAAGATTTGTGTAAAGAATTTTCCACTTTTAAAGCGACGATTAATGTTTGATTTTAATATTAATACCCTACCTGTTGCATTTTATTATAGTCATATGATTTTATCAACAGACAATATAAAGAAATGTATAAATGAAGTTAATCAAATAAAATATGATCTTTTAGAACAGAAGGTTTTAAGGCTTATAAATCGCAATATAATTCAGTTATTTATTGAAGGGGTAGATTCAGAGCGAAGCAAGGTATTATTTAAATTGTTTAGTAATTTGGACATAAAAGGGAAAAGTTTTGGTTATTACGACACACTTTTAAACAAAAGAATACGTAATTACATATGTGATACCTTTAAATGTAAGAAATTACCGATTATTTTTATTGATGGGGATTTTATAGGGACTTTAGAAGTATTTCAAGAACTTGTTGTACAAAAAAAGATAGATCAAATACTTAATCATCTTTAATTATTATTATTTAAGTAATAAATTTTGTATATTTAATTAATTTTGTTTATAAGTTTATATTGATAGTTTTGACATGCGAAATTTTACTAATTGGAAAGTTAAATTTCTTAAAAAAAATTGGTGTTGTTTTTATGTATTTTAAAATATTTAAGATAAACTTAAATGATTTATTTTTTCTGTCTTTTATATTATTGTAGAACAGTAAAGATGTAGACATGTCAATCAGCAGTATTGGGTTGATGGCTTTGACATGTCTGTTATATAAATAATAATTACTAAATAAACCCATGTTTTATCCCAACAATTATAATAAATTTATTTATTGATATAAATCAGAAGAAATTGTTCTGCTATTAGATTCTTATAACAAAGTTTTTAGATTATCTTTTATATCACAGCATTAAATATTTCTTTTATTTTATACAATTAGTATTTTAATTAATTTATTTATGATATAGATCAGAAGGAATTGTAGTGCTGTCAGAATGAAATTTTTAAAATGCAAGAAAATGTGTATGGTTATAGTATACTGTCAAATATGGCACATTAAATAATTTGACAGAAGCACTTTTTATTATTTTATATATCAACAATATTTTCATCCAATAAACATAAATAATGTATATTTAACTTTTTAAATAAAAGTTAAATGCTATGTAAGGTTTTTTTACAGCCTTAATATGCTACCTAATTTTATTTATTTTTTATCCCTCATGAACAAAGAACTAAAATTATGTGTGGCTACTAGAAAGTTAGAAAATAAATATGCAACATTAAAACTTACAAAAAGTAAAATGATTATAAATTTATTGAAAGAAAAACTTGTTATTAAATCATCAGAAATTAGCGATTTAAATAATAAAATAGAAAGTTTAGAAAATGAAATGAATGTTATAAAACAGAGTAATAATGAATTAGAGAATACAAAATTGGAGCTAGAAGCACTTGATTCTAAAAATAAAAATTTATTATCACAGTTAGAAAATATAAATGCAGAAAATGAAAAAAATAAACAAGAGTTAAAAAAAGTTAAAAAAGAATTAGATAAAAATAAAAAGTTAATTGAAACTAATAAAGAAAAAACAAAAAAGGAAGAAGACAGAAATAAAATTGATATTAAACCATTACAAGATGAAATTAAATCTAATTTACAAATTATTAATGATCTTAAAATACAAAATAAAAAACTAGAAACAGAATTAATAAATGCACGTGCAGAAAATAATTTGCCTGAAAAATCATTTAAAAATATCGAAAATGAAAATAAAAAATTGATAAATGAAAATTTAAGGCTATTGAAAGAAAATAATAATTTAATTGTAGAAAAAGAAAATTTATCAAAAAAGATTTCTAATGTAGAGAATATTAATAAAGAAAATTTATATTTGAAAAAATTAGTAGAAACTCTAGAGAAATCAAATACTAAGACTCAGAAAAATATAAATGAATCAAGCAACATAGCTAAGATATTTGAAGGACTTAACTATAAAATTGATGATTTAAAAAATGAATTTACTAATAAAAATAATGAGATTAATGAAGAAATAAAACAATTTAAATTATTAATAAATGAAAAGGGTGGCAATGACACACTGAAAGATAATACTATAAAGATATTGAAAGAAAGTCTTAAAATTAAAGATAAGCTATTGGGTCAAAAAACAAAAAAAGACAATTTTGATTTTGCACCTGATGTTGTAGAAAATGAAATAGTTTATGGAGATGTTCCTGTGATTAAAAAGTGTAAAGTTGATAAAAATATAAAAAATCCTGTTCAGAAAATTAAGTCGCAAATAAAAAAAGAAGAAGAAAAGCTTGGAGAAATAAATTTGGGTAAAAATGAGAATATGAATATAAAAACGATAAGTGAAAAGAAAAAGGAAGTTAAGAGTAAACAAAAAGAAAAGAAGGATAATAAAAGTAAAAAAATGACATCTAATAAAGAAGTAGAGATCAATAATGATCTAAAAAATATAAATATTGGTGACAATAAAGTAAATAGTATTCCTTTTGTATCAGAAAATAAGTCACTTTTATCTCAAGGGACCATCTTTGATGAAATTGTAAAAAAGAATACAAAATCTTTTCCTGCAAAAAATAATACATCCTTTTTTGCGAACTTAACTTTTGAAGATTCAAGTCCAGTACAGAAAAGATATGAATAGTAAAAGATTTGTAATAAAATAGTTATTTATAAATTTTAAATAAGTGTTATTGGTTTTTATTATAAATTACATCTAACTATTGCTTGTCTAAGTTTTTTTGCCTTATACAAAATTTTTTATTGTAAATATAGTTTATAAAAAGTTATATAACCATTTATATACTAGCATCTTTTAAACATACAGCATGCATTAAATTGTTTAAATTTTTCTTTATAATTTATAAAGCTTTCCAAAAAATTTAAATCCCCTATTTATTATGTCTTTAGATAAAAAATGTGTAAAATTAACTCAAAATGTCTTTGATATTTGTATTGCAGATTTCTACCGCATGGAAGTTATAGATCCACCTTTTAATAACAAAAAGACTAATGTTATAAAACAAGACTTACTTGAAATTCTTACTAATAACTTTCAATTAATAAAAAATACAGAAAAGAAAGGTTTAGAAAATAAAGATCTTAAGGTATTGTTTAACAATTTGAGTCATTTAGTTTTAGGGAAAGAAGATTGGAATGAAACGAATAAAGGAGAAGCAGCTAAACTTTTGTATGGTATTAATTATTGGGTACTAAAAGATGGTGGACCAAAAATTATTGACTTTATGATTTTGAATGATGTTCATGTCGAATTCGTGTTTTTATTTACACAACTTTTTGATAAATATTTGTAGTATTTATTTATTATTTTTATATTAAAATAGTGTTTTTTGTTTTTTAAAGTGTTATATTGTAAACTTAAATAATTCAAATATTTTAATCTAAAAAATAAATTAAATCTATACTATATGTGAATCATAAATTTAATTTAGTTATTTATTATGTCTAAAATGCTTTATTTTTTAAAGTCAATATTATAGATTATAATCTTCTAAACATATTCTTTTCTTTACTAGCCCTTATTTTTGATGGACGATCACCAGCCACAAAATAATGCTTCAATCGTATTTACTAAGATTCGTAATTTAACTACAGGACAAAGCTACAACATATTATGTAAAATATTAGAAATTTATCCATGGCGGCAAACTAAAGGAGAAGATTTAGTTATGACTCTAAAAGTACAAGATGATCCATCAGATGATTATATTTTTGTAAAAATATTCAGTCCTAAAGCCATTCATAAAGATTGCTTTAATTTGGGTGAGACAATTTCAATTTGTGGAATAAAGCACTTTAAATTAGATCTGTACATTTTAGACAAAAAAGGAAGTATAAAAAAAATACAAGATAGTAACAATATTAAAAAGAATACGTATAATAGTTTACAACATTCTTTAAAATGTATTAAAGATCTTCAAGTGACAGAATATATTAAATTTAATGGTAAATTAATTTATAAACAAAAAGAGAGTAAAAATCTGGTAATACTTGGGTTTATCGATTATACTGTTAATCCATTAATTCAATTAACTAAAAATAAGGCTTATTACACCAATAATATGGTATTGTATGTTAAGACTTGGGATAACATATCTAAGGTAGCTGTGTCTTTGGTTATCAATTCTTTTTATAATCTTGAAAATCTAAAAGTAAAGGTAGATGTATCAAAAATATCTGCAGATTTATCTGATTCTCCTTTATCAAAAATAACAGAAATAACTGATATTAATGTTATAAAAGAAATTAAAGCTCGATCTAATTTTCTAGCTGATAAAGTTATTTCTTTCTCAGAAAATGTATACAGTTCTATTGAGCTAAAACTAATAAACGAAATTAAAAAACCTGGATATTATAAAATACAAGTAAAAATATTAAGACATCATCCATTTCAGGGTTATTACATCGATGTGTGTATTAAATGTAAAAAAGCGCAAGAAGAATCTTTGTTTAAATGTGAATGTAATTCTCCACCTGAAAGATTTTTTGTTGTAAAATATCTTGTGCGTGACGATAGTGGAGAATTCGTTTTGCTAGCAAAAAATGAAGTGGCACGGGCTATGTTGTCAAGATTCGAAACATCAAAAAAAATAGAGTTATTAGTCTATTGCAATTTTATTGATCAATGTATTCATTTAGAAATTAAAGATCTACCAAATTACATATAAGACTGGTTTTATAAAAATTTCTTTATAAGAAAATTTGATTAAAGTTTTGTATTTTCTAGCTAAATTTCTAAATTATAGAAATAATAAATTTTAATGTAAAATAGTTTACATAATGTGCTATAACAGGTTTATAAATTCATATTATTTTGGTAAATGTATTTAAAATTTTTGTAGAAAATATGTTTTAATATAAATTTTTGATCAAAAAAATAAATATTTAAATTTGATATAAAATAAATAAAAAAAATTATTACGAAAATATTTTAATTTGATAAAAGGGTAAACAGAACATGTTCATCTTTTTGTAAACTTTATATTTTCCTATCAAATTTGCATATATCAATTTATAAAAAATCCTTAGCTTATTTTAAATCTACAAAATGTTTAATTCTATTATTGAATTTAAGTTTTAGGCGCCTTAATAATTTTATATCTCTATTTTATTTTTTAAATTTTTTATTTTCGTCCCCTTAAGAATGCCAGCTAAAAAAATCAATAAAGACGAAATTATTGAAAATGAGCAGTACGAAAAGGGATCTGCAGAAGAAGAGGATGATGATGAGTATATGAATGATGATACATCAAGTAGTAGTGAGGGAAGTTGTTCCACGGGGAATAATTCAAGTGGTACTGGTGGCGTTTATAGCGAAAGTGCTAGTGCTAGTGAAAGTGAAAGTGAGAGTGTTTCTGAAAGTACAGAAGGAAGTAATAAATAAATTTTTAAAATTTTTAATTTTTTTATGGTATTAGCTTACATTGTCAGTATTTCCTCTTGTATTGTGCTTTTGATCTTTAAGCTCGTCATTTTTTCTTAAAACAGAAATATCTACTTCTTCGTCTTTTGTTTCATTAGCAACTGGTGCCTTTATTTTCATTCTTTCTTCTATTTTTTTTGATAATTTTTCACCAAATTCTTCCAATGCGTATTTAGGTTTTATTCTATTAGTAAGTAAATCATTTCGTTTAACTATTTTGGCTTGTACAGGAGAATGTTCTTTTTTAATCTCTTGAAATGATAATTCAAGCTGTAGAAAATATATATTTTCTATACTTAAAATATAAAAATATTCTAATAGCGATAGTAACCACTCTTGATCTTCCCAATCAATAAAATGAAACTTAAAACTTTTTTTTATGTTATACATATAAATTTTATCTGTTCTACTAATATTTTTATTACATTTCACATTAGAGTAAATTTTAGAAAGTCGTGCAATTTTTTTGTTATTTTTAGATTCATTATCTAAACAGAAAATATCATCTATGTAAAAAATAAAATTTGTGTATTCAGCTATACTTTCTTCCTTTTTATTATTTTGTTCATAAAATTTTGCATTAACGATGGAAATACACAAAAGTAAAAAATCATTGCAATCAAGATTTTCAAAATCATTAAAATCCAATGTAATATAAGGAAAAAGATTATTAATTGGTCTATTATTTAAAACTTTAACAATTTCTTCTTTGAGATTCATAGGGTAAATAATATATAAAAAACAATACATCAATTACATTTGTAAAACTATTTATTAATCGCATCTTCCTACAAATTCTCTCTTTTTATAGCCTTCGTGATTAATTAAAAAACACTCAAATCCCATTCCCCCAAAAGTATCCCTGTCAGATGAATTCAGAAAAACTTGTACTGATGTTGTAAAAAGATCTTCATCTTCCATATCAGCGTAAAATAATGCTTCAGATAACCCCATTAAATTGTTACTAGCAGTACCGACTGTTGCAAATTCATCAGTTTCTTTCATTGCTCCTATACAATCCATACTAGAAGCATATGGTTTGTTGTCAGAAGTAATTCCGCAAACTATTGTCGAAACGTAATAAGGCTGTAGCCTTTTCTGATATAATATAAAAGAAATTAAATTACTTAATTCAGAAGGCTCCATGTCTCGCTTGTTATCTTGTACAAATAAATTGTAGTTCTTCCGAATTTTTTTATATAAAATTTCAGCATCTGAGACCAATCCAGTAAAACCAAAAAATAATCTGTTATTTAATGTATACACTTTAGTAAAGTTTTTACCGACAGATATAGGACCTGCTCCTAGCCTTTTGTCTGTTACAATAGACACAGAAGACTTTCCTATCATTGCTAAAATTGATCCACCATAATATTCAGCAATATCGCTCATTAAGGGTTACAAAAATTCTAAATTTTAGGTAAATTATATAAATATCTAAATGTTTACTATAATCTTGTGTAATTTTTACCCCTAAATGAAGAATTGTTTTTACAGAGTTCGGCCTTTATGGAAACGTGTTTATGTCTATCCAATTTATGTATTGCCTGTTCTTATTAGACTTACCAATTCTTTTCATGTTGTTCCTTTGTTTACAATATTATTTGCTATTTTTCTTTCATTACTAACGTGCTGGTCGGATAAGATAAAAATACTATTTACAGCTGACTTGTCTAATAAACCGACACATATATTGTTTAACGGAAAGCTTTGTTTAATTTCAAAAAACACTTTTATTTTTAATAGATCAAAATATTTAATTGAACAAGGCAATATAATCCAATTGGTGCCTGATACTAAAAAAAGGTTTAAATTTTACAAATCTGAATATAAAACACATTCTTATGTGGAAGACAGATTTTTGCAACACTGGCCTAAAAATTATTTTAGTATAGAATCACCTACATTTGTAAAAATGTTTAGCCAACATGCTACTACTCCTTTTTTTGTTTTTCAGGTATTTTGTGGTATTTTATGGTGTCTCGATGAATACGTTTACCAAGCCTTATTTACATTAATAATGCTTGTAGCAGTCGAAGCGGGCCTTGTGTTTCAACGAATTATTATTATGAAACAGTTTAAAACAATGAATCATAAGACAGTTAAGATAGATCTTAGTACTGAAAAGGGTATAAAACAAATTGATTCTTACGATATAATTCCGGGAAATATTATTAGAATCAAAAGTTGTATTAAAGTGCCGTGTGATTTATTGTTGTTACGAGGCGCTTGTGCTGTAAATGAAGCAATATTAACTGGCGAGTCTGTGCCATTAACAAAGGAAGATATTGTAGAAGTAGAAGATCAGCGTATTTTTGATTTTGAAAAAGATAAAAAGCATGTTTTATTTGCTGGTACCGAGATAATTAAATTAGACAATAATGTTATTGAATGTTTTGTACTTAATACGGGATTTGATACGGTTCAAGGTAAATTAATTAAAAAAATGATGTGTAATGAAGAAATAACAGTCAACGATATTGAAGCTTTTGGTTTCATAGGAATGCTACTAGTATTTGCTTTAGTTGCCGCTATTTATACATGTAAAGAAGGACTGAAAATGGGTAAATCTGGTTATAAAGTTTTTTTAGAATGTATATTAATTATTACTAACGTTGTTCCTACAGAATTGCCTTTAGAATTAAGTATGGCGGTAAATTCGTGTGTATCTGCACTTAAAGAACTGGGCATTTTTTGTCTTGAGCCTTTTAGAATACCATACGCTGGTAAAGTTAATGTGTGTTGCTTTGATAAAACCGGTACACTCACTGAAACAGCACTTGATGTTAGTCAAATTAAGTTTACTACACCTTTTACAGCCGACGTTTTAAGAACTTGTAATACGCTTATTAATTTAGATAACAAGATTACAGGAGACCCGCAAGAAGTTGCGATATATGAATATATGAACAAGATTGTACTAAAGTCAAATAATATTACATTATCAGAAGATTTTGCTGTGTTAGATAAACTTTTTATCGACACTACAAATAAGACATTTCAGTATAAATATACAATTAAAAAGAAATTTTTATTTTCATCAGAGTTGAAAAGAATGACAGTTGTCTACGAATGTAATAAGGAGACATACGTATCTATGAAAGGGGCACCCGAAGTTATAAAAAATTATTTAGTAACTGTGCCTGATTGCTATGATGATTATGAAGATTATGCGAAAAATGGCTACAGAGTAATTGCACTGGCACATAAACCTTTTAAAAAGCGAACACCGTTTAATAGAGCAGAAGTAGAAGAAAATTTACATTTTGCTGGATTTATTTTGTTTGATTGTAAAATTAAAGAACATGCAAAGGAGACTATTTCCGATTTACAAAATAGTGGACATAAAGTAGTTATGATTACTGGTGATAATATTTTGACAGCGCTGGCTGTTGCTAGAAAACTTGGCATTATAAATTCAGACGACGATAAAGTCGGAGTAGAAGGAAAAGATATTGATAAAGTCTTAAGTTTAGATATATTTGAGCAATATAAGGTATTTGCACGAGCAGATCCTGAACATAAAGAAAAAATTCTAGAGAGATACAATAAAAAGGGCTATTTCACTTTAATGTGTGGAGATGGTACTAATGACGTTGGTGCATTAAAATCTGCACACATAGGTGTAGCATTGGTAGAGGCACAAATAAGTACGAAACCTAAAATTGTTATAAAAGAACATTCTACGCCTAAACAAGCACTGTTACAGAAGATAGCAGGTGAAATGAACGACCAAACACAAATAAAAATGGGTGATGCAAGTGTAGCTGCACCTTTTACAGCTAAAACCAAATCTTTAGAATGTATTTTAAATGTGATTAGACAAGGCAGAAGTGCATTAGTTACTACGATACAGATGTACAAAATTTTAGCTCTTAATTCCCTAGTCAATGCATTTTCTCTTTCCGTTTTAGATTGTATGGGAATAAGATATGGCGAATATCAATTAGTAGTTTCAGGATTATTAGTCGCTCTTGCTTTTACATTTTTGTCTAAAAATGTTCCACTTAAAGAAATTAGTAAAAAGAGGCCATTGACTACAATTTTCAGCAAGTACATGATGCTTTCTATTTTTTTACAAGTAATAGTTCATATTTTTTCGTATTTAATAGTTCTAAAAAGGTTAAAATGTGTTGAGACTATTGTCTACGAAGAAAAATTTAAACCTAGTGTAACTAACACTGCTTTATTTTTACTAAGTACATCTCAACAGATATCTACATTCTTAGTAAATTATATTGGAAGACCTTTTAGAGAAAGTTTGGTAGAAAATAGAAAGTTAATGGGTTGTTTATGTCTGTTGTACGGAATTATTTTTTATATTTTATTTGATGTAAATGAAGAATTTTCTAGTATGATGGAAGTTATTTCGCTAGATAGTCTAAAAAGCTTTTTACTGTTTGTTATTATAACTGATCTTGGTGTTTGTTTTTTTATTGAAAAGATATGTTTTAGGTTGTTTATGATTTAATTAAAAAATTAATTAGTTTATATACTTGTATTAATTTAAAGTTGTTAGTGCTGGCATAAAACATGGGTTTTTTAATAATTATTATTTATATAACAGACATTTAAAGCCATCAACCCAATACTGTTGATTGACATTTCTACATCTTTACTGTCTTACAGTTAGTTTTGTTAAATGTAAAAAACAAAAAGTTTTATTAACTTTGATAATATTATTTTGATTTTTGATTGAATGAACAGGTGTTAATTAACTTTTTTAGATATTTTTAAAATTATTTTATTGTGTTTTTTTAAAATATAAAACAGCACAAGTTTATTTATAAATTGTATTATATTCCCGTTTAATGTTTTGTTTTTTATTTTTAAAAATGATATTTAAAATTTTAGTATTTTGAAAAAAAAATAAGGAAGTTGAAATATTGTAGTGAAGAATGAAATAATTTCTACAATTTTGATGTAAACATTTAAAATAAAAACAATTTCTAAATTATTTACTAATTTATAAAAAATTTAATATTTTGATAACAATTATTTACTAATTTATGTTATTTTATATATCAACCCCTTTAGTATTTAAAGTTAATTTATAGGCATTAAAATATAAATATTTTTTTATAAGCAATATTTTACTTCATTTTTTCACCCCTCTATGTTTCTCAACTTACTATTTCTGTTACTTTCCGTTAAAAAAGAATTAGATGATAGACCTTTAGCACTGTGTGAATATTATTTATCACCAATTTGTAAAAATTATTCAAATTTTGTAGTTAAGGAATTGGAATCTATATTAAGAAATGATATATGTTTTGTAGTAAGTGATAACACTAGCAGTATATTTAGATATCAAGTTAAAAGAAAAGGTCTTTCTATTATTAAACGTAAGAATAATAAGCTTATACATGAACCTTTTACAAAGTCACATTCTTTTTATTTTTTTATAGATAAAGAAGGATTAGTACATTACTCAGATTTATTGAATAAGGGAGTACAAGTTGTGTATTTTACACATAATTTAATATCACCTAGTAATTTTAATCTTCTTATAAATGCCTATAAAAAAATACATAGATATGCATTAAATACATCTTATTATGAATTTAATATTAGAACCCGCCATTGTAAAAATTTTAAGGAATACAAAGTAAGCCATTCTTATATTGGAACTATACATAATACAATTTATAAAGAAAAGTGTGATAAAACATTAGAACTATTAAAAGATCATTTTACTACCTTTTTTAATAAAAATAATTTATTAAATAGGCCGTTATACGAAGTAGCTAAAATGTATCAAGAAAGTCTTTTGAGCTACCTTAAGAAACTTAATGTTATAAAAAACTGTAATATTTCACATATAAACTTTCCTTATGTTTTTACAAAAGATCTAACGCAGCCTTTTAAAGACTCTATTTTAATTACTGGCGGTGTGTGTTTTAGCGAGTTTTTATTGAATTCTAATGATTTTTTTAAATTTGGCACTAGATTTATTTTTACTTATAAATTTCAAGTCAATGGAAAAAAAATACTTATAGAATGTGTACATTAAAAAGATTACAGTACAAAGTTATTATTCTTTACATTTGTATACTATTGCGCATCTATTATTTAAAACAAGAAATTTTTGTTAGATTACAATATAAATCAATTACTCCATTCATTTATTGTTGTTTAGTATCAAATAATTTTTTTTTATAACATTTTTCAATCTAGTAAAGAATCTAAAAATTTAAAAACTATACTTCTCTTCTTTAATAAACCTAATACATTCACATTTAAAATAAACTTATAACATTCACTTTTAAAATAATCTCATAACATTCATCTTTAAAATAATCTCATAACATTCACCAGTAAATATAAACTTATAACATTCACCAGTAAAAATAAAATTAAACCCTCAATGGACTTAAAAAAAATTCTAAAACAAAAAATAATATCAGAAGTAATTTCTCCAAGCACAGAATGGCCTGTGTTAATTTATGATCGTACATGTGCTGAAATATTAAAAAATCTGTTTACCAAATCAGAATTTATAACTTACAATATTGTTATGTCACTCTATCTAGAAGAAGATAGAGAACAGGCCAACTTCCCTGTAATATATTTTGTTAAGTGTACAAAAGAAATATCAAAAATAATTAATTCTGATTATTTAAATAAAAAGTACACTTCTTTTACAGTTTGTACTTTGGTGCCACCAGAAGATCTAAATCATGATATTACATTTAAAATAGTACACATGTCACTAAAAGCACTAGAAGAAAGGGTGTTTATAACGGATATTACAAATATAAATTCTGTATGTAATATATTAAATGCTTATTTCTATTTAGAATACACATCTAAAGATTTAGAAAAATATTCTAATATTTTAGATGATGAATCGAAATCTAGATCAGGAAAATTAATTTTATTTGATCGTAGTATCGATTTGTATACACCTATTCTTCATTTTTTTACATTTCAGCCATTATTAGAGGAAATCAATATAACTGATATGTCTAAAATATACGAAGAATATGGGGATACAGCACTTTGGAAAGAGGTTAGACATACACACTTGGGTGACATGTCGGATCTTTTGAAATCATACGTTAGAAAAGTTAAAACTCAACCATCAGATAATATTAAGGATTTAATGAAGGCTGTTATGGATGCGCCGGAAACACTTAAAACCAATAAAGGATTGCGCTTATTTTTCGATTTAACTAAAGAATGTTATAAAAAATTCGATTACATCAACGAATTTTCGAATATTGAACAGAAGATTGTTACAAAAGAAAAGTTAAAGAGCAAAGATGTAATAAAAGCCTTGACTGAACGAAAAATTGATCTTTATGACAAAAAAAGGATAGCGCTTCTTTATAAATTAAGTGGTCATGAATATACTGAGCGAGAGTTAGCAAAGTTAGATGAAAATCTAAAAAATTTTATATTAGAAAACAAAACGAATGCGAATGATAAATTTAAGCCTATTTCGTATGAATATAAATACGAATATGAAGTTTCCAAATATGAACCTACTATTTCTGTTGTACTGCGTGAATATATAAAAAATAATAAGCAGTTAATACCTTTTTACAAAGTAGAACGCGAAAAAAATACTATTAACAGTTTGAGGCGCACGAACTTAATTTCTGTTAAGAAAGATATTAATAAAAATAATATTTGTTGTATTTATATTAAAGGAGGTGTTACATATGAAGAAATAAAGTGTATATATAAATTAACTGATGAATTGGGGATAGAATTTTTAATAGGCAGTGATAGTATCATTAAGTCGGATTTGTATATTAAATAATGTTTCTAGTAAATTGATGTGTATGAGGTGTTATTCTATAGTAAATATTTAACTTTCTAAACTACATCAAATTCTAATAAAATTTTAAACCCATGTCTGAATTTTATTCTTTAAATGCAGTTGATTCAAAACAGTCACTAGTTGAATTTTCAATATTTAAAAATAATGTAGTTATAATTTCTAATGTAGCCACATATTGTAAACTAGCAAAATCAAACTATGATTCTTTTAAACAACTTACAGACGAATTTTATGACAAAGGCCTTAGAGTATTGTTATTTCCTTGTTCGCAATTTTTAAACCAGGAATCTGGTGATATTGAAACTATTCGCAATTATGCGCATTCTATTTCTGATAAATTTATCGTATTTGACAAAGTTAATGTATTTGGATCTCAAAAAGATCCTGTTTTTAAGTATTTAACAGACAACAGTTCAGAAAGTTTTTTTAAGTTTGTAAAATGGAACTTTACAAAATGGGTTGTTAAAGATGGAAAGATTTTAAAGCGATATGGACCAACAGAGGTTATTAAATGTGAAGACATAAAAGATTTATTTGAATAGATTTAATTTTTAGATGTTTTTTTACTTTTAATAAATATTTTATGGATAAATTCTAGTACGAAAATTTTTGTTTAATAAATTTATTTTAAATTAATTTTTGATATCAAAATATGATTTATTTGGCATTTTGTTTGTACATTATTTTAAGTTATAAAGTAATAATTTACACTTTACAAATATTTATAATCAAGTGGCTAATATTCTAATAATATTCTTGTAGATAATATCTATAGTATATTTAAAATGATATGTGTACATATACTGTATTTTTTCTCATATTTTCTAATTTTATATTATTTTACTTTATTTCCTAACATTTTTATATTATTAAAAAATTTATACTTTTTTGCCCTTCATGTCTTCAGAAGAAAGAGACACCAAAAAAATATCTTCAGAAAGAAAAGGCGTCAGAAAAAGATTTTCAGGAGGGAAGATCTTTAAAAAATTATTTTCAGAAGGAAAAGCCTTCAAAAAATTATCTTCAGAAGGAAAAGCCTTTTATAATTTATCTGCTATAGACTACAAAGACAAGACTATTGACTTTTCACACTACAAAGGTAAAATGTTACTAATCACTAATATGGCTTCTACATGTGGATTTGCCAAGAGTAATCTTTCTATACTAGCTGATATTATGACACTGTATAAAGAATATGGCCTTAAAATATTGATCTTTCCTTGTCTGCAATATTCAAAAGATGATACTGATTTACTTAAAAAGATGTATAACTTAATAACAGAATATTCTGATGATTTTACAGTATTTAGTGATATTAATTTGGTCGGTAAAAATATACATCCTGTTTATAAGCATATTGTAAGGTATAGAAAAGAGTTTGTAGGAGATTTTATAAAATGGAATTTCGCAAAATTTATTGTTAATGAATACGGTGAAATAGTAAAAATTTTTGAACCAGGAGATCGTCTAGAAGTGCGCGATAAAATATTTAAAAAGCTCTTAAAAAATAAAATTGCAGAAAAAGAAGTTGAAAGAGAAATAAATAAATATGAGGGAGATCCTTATGATCTGCAAAATAGTAGTGAAGAGTTACAGTATTATTAAATTAATAGAATTTTTATAAAGAAGTGATATTTTAATAAGTGTGTTATCTTTTGATTACGTTGTATAAGAAACTAAACTATATATTTTAAGTATAATACTACTTTTTCTCTGTTAGGTAATAAATAAAAATTCTTACTTTCATTTTCTATTTTTTTGTACCCCATGTTTTTTTATTTTCTACTTCAGATCATCTCAACTCGCGGTTCACTTGAAGATCTATATTTAGTTCCTCCATACGTAGACGGTAAGGGAAAATCAAATGTAGTCAATTTCTTAGGTGATTTTTCTATTCTTTCTTATGGAGGTAATCGACATATTAAACTTGGTTTTATATATCCTGACACGCGCGGTGCGATAGTGTACAGAAATCAAGTGGGTACAGATAAGTTTGTAATAGACACTAAGGTCAATTTAAATGCAGTTAGTAAAGGTCAAGAGAATAACGGTATGCTAATATTTTTTAACAAGACTGATAATGTAGAATTTGGGTCTATGTATGGTATAAAACTTGACACAGAATTTGCTGTGGCTTTGGATATTAAAAAGGGGTTAGAGGTAGTTATTAAAATATTTATTAATAATAAAGAGGACAGTAGTAAAACTTTCCAATTTTATGAGAATGATGATGTGAAAATAAGAATAGAACAGAATGATATTCTTAAAGTAGAAGTGGATGATAATTATGACAAACTGGTAGTATACGAATCTGACAAGTTTATGATAAGTAAAAGAACGTTTTTAGGGGTATCCGCGTCTAATGGAAGTGAATCATCTACATCTTTTTCTTTACGTTCAATTGAAGCTTCGTATCCAATTGTTATCCCTAAGATATTTAAAAGAGGAGAAAGAGAGGGAAGTAGTAAAATGGTATGGATTGTATTTTTAGGATCTGTATGTGGACTTGTATATTACTTATACGGTCTTCAGATAAGGAAAAATGAATAATAAAACTTTTGTTTTTTAATTAACTAAATTTTATAAATGTATAAATTTTAATATTATTTATAGTGTTGCCTAATAAAACATTTTTTACTAATTTTAATATACAAATTTATTTATTCTTTTATGTATCAATGAAATTTATAATTTTTTAAGGTTTACAGGCAATATATTTATCCTACACAGTTTACTTAATATTATTGTATTGTTTAAAAAATTTAAGGCTTTTTATTATTTTTTCTAAATCAATATAAGTTTTGTAATTTAGAAATGTAAGTATTACTTTTTCTTATTAAAGATAAATCTGTATCATGATTTATGTGAGATGCTATTTCCAAATCAAATTTATATTTTTTATATTCATTTCTACACTTCTTATGTATTTCTAAGAGATTTATTATTTCATTATTATTTCTGTAAAAATTTTTTAAAATTTTTAATAATTTGACTTTCTCATAAAAATCTAAATTTTTTAAGTCGTTCGCTATAAACAAATAAATCTCCTCTTTACATTTTTTTATATCTCTTTTATAAACATTTAAATATAAATTCCATACCTCTGTATTAACATTATATGGTGGTTCTTCATCCAGTTTATGTATAATGCTTATAGCAATTTCTAAATGTTTTTTTATATTAATTATGCACCCTACTAAAATTTCACCTATATAAGGAAGTAAACAAATAAATTGCTTATTAATTAATTTTTGAATTAAAGGTGCAACATCATCAAAATTTGTAGTATTTATCAATTTAAACAAGTCACTAATAGTAAATAAATACATATGAGTCATCATTTTGTAGTCTTTTTTTACTAAATCATTTTTTTTAGAACTCAGTGCCACGTAAAACTTTTCTGAAATTTTTTCTAACAGAAAATATATTGATTCCTCAATATGAGCTTTGTAAAATAAGTTATTAAATACCTTTTTCGCATTCGTGATATCAATCGCACTATTCCAAAATATTACTACTTGTTCTAAAATCTCTTTGTCGGTACAATTTAGTAGAGGATCGTAATATTTTATTACCTTTTCGACGTTATATTGATATTTAAAGTACAGTTTATTTATAAGCTTGCACGCAATAGATGTATGAATCAAGCTTATATTTGTGTATAAATTATTTAAATCAGAATCATTCAATTTTAATATATCAAAATAGCAGTAGATAAGTATAAGTGATTTTCCTTCATTTATTCTACAAAAATGCTTATCATATAAATACTGACCTAAGAAGTCGCAAACATCTTTATTTAGAGAAATTAATTTAGTAAATGTTGTTATAGTATCTATATTGTATGTTGATTCGATTATATCACAATAAACTATATAGTTACAATATCTTCGTAATGCTGGTTCTACATTGTTCTTACTATTACATTGTAAATAGTTTAAAAATCCATATATCTTAGGATATGAATCAAGTCCTAATATTAGTTCTCTAGAAGCCTGTGGTAAATCATTCCAAAAATCAGATACAAGTGATAAATAAGTAGTATCATCTATAAAATACTTAGTTATTTCCAATGCAGCTCTTTCTTTGGTGTCCAAATCTTCTATACAAATATCTAATAGTATTTTCAACACTTGGCCGGCGATATTATATTTTTCAATTAAATATTTAATAAATGACATACAGTCCTCGTCATATTCCGATAACCAAGTAAGTATATCATTCTTCATAAAAGATAAGGGTAAATTTAATTTATAAGAAAGTCAAATTACAATTCATTAATTACAAATTCTACATTGGTTTGATAAAAGAATAAATTTAATTTATCATTCTGCCAATAATGTCAAAGAAATTATTGATAGGTAAACTTAAGTAACTTAATTAAACTTTTAATATGACTTTTAGTAAATGATAATCAACTAATGGTGATTAATTTGAATTTCGGTGCAACTCCATTTTATACTTACAAAATTTCATATTAAAAATACTTACGGTGTTAGAGTTTATCGTTGCAACAGAAAATTACAATTATATATTCACTTAGATTTATTTTCACTAAATTTCTAAGATATTTAATTTACAAAGAACATAAGAATTTATAACAAATAATGATTAAAAAAGTATGGTGAATAATTTATTGCAAAAATAGATCTAGCACACACAATAGACTAAATTTTTACTCTTTAATTTTAAGTGTAGATAATTACTTTGCTAATGTTCCCTTAAGCCTATGTTTATATTTATTTCTATTAGAGATTAATTTAAAAACCAAAGATAGGTTAATTTTTTCCCACTAGTTTTTACATTAGTGTACGATTTTTTTACGTTTAAAGTCACGCTTGTTTTCTAGCGTAAACATATCGTTATTGTATTCAAAACAAATGGGGTAACTTCTATTTTTTAAGTCCCTTAAAATGTCAACAGTAGAGCGAACTGAAACACTAAAAATATACAAAATTGAAGAAAAGCTTTTTGAGCTAAAGAAATCAGTAAAAGATTTGTTTTTAAATGTAATTAATAAAATAGAAGCCTTAGAAACAGAAATAAATAATCTCGAAAAGGAAATGAAAGTTTACGAAGAACAAAGCTCGCCATTAGATTCTGGTAATACAATAAAAGATAACGAAATAGTAGATCTTTTATTGACATCTGGTTCTAGAAATAAATCTGAGCAAACTGATTCTTCACCAACTAGGTTAAATCTAAATACCGTTTCAACAGAAGAATTCTCTGTGGAGGATTCTGTAATATATGATTTATCTATAAAATCGACACAATCGCCTAGGAGTTCTATTGTACCTGGTGAATATGCGTATACAGGACATCTTACTGGCAAAATTTACAATATTAAAAAAATGTATGAGAGATTTAAAAGGATATTTCAAGAAAGTTCATTTACACCATCAGCTGCTATTAAAACATCTTATAGTTCTAAAACAAGGCCTCCTAAGGAAGAATGGATTGATATGTTAAATTATATGGTAGATAGAAATATGTTAATAAAGGCGGATAGCGATAAATTAAAATATAAAATACACAATGTAATGTAAATTGACGAATTAATAAAGACTTAAGGCTTTTTTATATAGTTTTTAAATTATTGTGTGATATTGCAAGGTATACTTTTAAGAGACAATACTTGTAAAAATAAATATATTTCTTTATAAATTTACATTTTTATTGTTAATATACACAAATATAAGGAAGTAAAACTAGTCAATATTTCTTATTGTTTAAATTTTAATAAAAACTTTTTTTTGGCCCTTAAAATGAAAGAAGAACGTGAATCAAATATTAGAAACTCTATTTTTGAATCAGCGCACGCACTATTAAACACCATCTCTACGTCTGTAGGACCAAAAGGACTAGATAAAATGATAATAAAACAAAACAAGACTACGGTTACAAATGACGGTGCTACTATCTTAAAATTTTTTACAGAAAATCCTATACATCTATTTCTTAGTAATGTATCCACATCACAAGATGAGAAATGTGGGGATGGAACTACTAGTGTAATAATTTTAACGTGTAGTCTACTTAATTCACTTAAGAAACTTCTAGAAATGAATATTCATCCCTCGATAATCTGTGATTATCTAGAAAGAGCTAGAAATGTGGCTATTTCTTATATAGAGTGGGCAAAAATACCAGTTAATGATGTTAATATTTTTAATACTGTTATAACCACTTTAAATTCTAAAGTGGTAGGCAATGCAGTAGAAATGGCAAGTGCATCTATAAAAGCGATGGAAGCAACAGGATATGATAAAAATAAAATACGAATTTTAAAAAAGCTGGGAGGATCAATTGATGATGTATTGTTTTATAAAGGAATGTTATTTAAATCAGATATCAAAACAGAAAAACGTCGCGTAAAATGCGGGGCGATTCAATTTTGCATTAGTGCGCCGAAAACGAATATGGATAGTAAAATTTTAGTTGACAGTCCACTTCTTATGGAGAAAATAATTTCAGATGAAAGAACATATATATTAGACATTTGTAAAAAAATAAAAATGAGCGGGTGTCAGTTACTTTTAATACAAAAAAGTATATTAAGGGATAGTTTATCTGAGTTAGGTCGTCATTTTCTTAAGCAGTTAAATATTTTAGTAATAGAAGGATTAGATAGAAAAGAAGTTGAATATATCTGTGAAGCATTGGGTATTGAACCTATTTCTGATGTTAATTTTCTTACTTGTGAGAATTTAAAAGAAGTGGAAATAAAAAATACTGAAGACATGTTAGAAATAAAAGGATATGGTAGCAGTATTGTTATTAATGGATGTGATGATCTTGTTTTAGACGAAGTTGAACGAAGTTTAAATGATGCGCTTTGTGTAGTTAAGTGTTTACACGATGAAAATTTTATAGTTCCTGGTGGAGGGGCAATTGAAATGGCTATATCTAATAAAATATTGGAGTTGGAAGACGGTAATATTTTCATAAATAGGGAGATTAGTCGAGGATTTGAAGCAATACCTTATTTTTTGGCACGTAATGCAGGACTTAATTCAATAGAAGCAGTCTCGGAACTCAAAAAAGCTATAAGAGAGAATCCAACTTATGGTATTAGTGTTAGGGGAAATAATATTAATGATATGCTTGAAGATGATAATGTAGTACAGCCTGCTTCTATTACTAAATCTATTGTAAACTTAGCAATAGAAACTGTTATAATGCTATTAAAGATTGATGATATTTTACCTTCAAGAGTTTAATAAATAATTTTATTAATTTTTTTTTAAAAATAATAATTAAACAGTTATATCTTTGTTTGTAGATTTAAAATTTTTTTTTATTATTCTCTATAAACATTCTAGAAAAAGTTATGTACATAAATTGTTAAAATGTACAAATTGTATAATTTGAAAAAAAAGTTTATAAAAATATAAATCTACCAAGTGTTAGCGCATTTTATAAAGTTAACTATTATGAGTGTATATTCTTATTTTAATAAAAGAAAGATTTTATTTATTTGTCCTGGATAGATTAATAGTTTGTCTTGTAATCGTCAAATATTAACGTATAAGAATACAATAATATAATTTTACATTTTGAATTATTCTTACTATTTATCGCACCATCATAGAACCTACAAAACTAATGTTGAATTTTTTATATCTTAAATTTATTATATTTTACAAGCTTCAATAAATTTACTTAAAAAAACAAATGTATTTTCATACTTACGAAGTTAATTTCTAAATTATAAATGAATCATTTAATAAATAATACATTTATAATTTTTTTACTAATCTATTCCAATTTAAAAGATAATAATCTCGAGGTATAATATAAATCGTTTGTTTTAAATTTTTAATATTTTTTACCGCATTTAGGAAGAAAGCAAAAGCAATAAAAGTATTATTGATAATAATATTATAAATATTTTGTTATAAATGCGTTTATTTTCAAAATTTCTTTGTTTACAAAAAATTAATTTAAATCAAAATTAATTAATCAAAATTACATATATAACAAAAATATTTATTTTATTGAAATAATACGAAAATATAGTTTAACGCAAGTAAAAACAATTAATTACATTTTAACATAAATTTTTATTAATATTAATAAAATTTCTTTAATCCTTATGGTACAATTAAATGCAAGCAAGATAATTTTAATTGTTTTAGTTATATTAATATGCTTTTTGCTTGGCTATTTTGTAGACAATAGTAGAAGAAATTATTATAAAAAACCAAATAATTCAATATTTGATGATTTGAGTAATATTAATATGTCGAGTGATATAGAAAATAATTTAGATAATAATTCTGAGGGATGTATAAATGATTGTTTACCAAAATTAGAAAAAATTTGCAAAGAGAATCAAACGGCTATTTTGAATGCTGTAGAGAAAGTAGATGATGTTAATAACCAGTTTTTGTGTAAAGAAGACGAAAAAGTAGAAAGTTATAAATTTGACAAAATCAATTTACAACAAAATTTTAAGACACTTACCAATAAAGAAGATTCTAGCATAATAGCTGAAAATAGTAAAAATACTTTTTTACTCAACAAACAACCTGCAACTGAAGATTTTTCCCTTTTTAGAGGCGAAAAAGAGAAATTTTTAGTTTTTGATGTTTTATTTAATAATAGCTTTAATAATGTAATTGTTTGTAATGTTAAAAACACACTTACAAATTTTTTATCTTGCATACAAATAACATCAAACATTCCTCTTAAGCTTTTACTAAAAAAGTATACACCATGCTTTATTTCAATGTTTGTTTATAATTTTTTTTATGAAGTAAAACAATCAGAAATTATTATTCAAAATTTTATAGATGATGTGTGTTACATTGGTACACCTATCTGTAATAGCATATTTAAATTATTAGATCCAAACTATAAATGCAATTTAGTAGGGGAGGAATCTTTAATAAGTAATTTTAAATACTTAGATAGTGATATTAATGTTATCATAAAATTTTTACGGTATTTTCTAAGTAAAAAAAATACGAAGCCTTGCTTAAATTTACACGAAGAAGTTGATGGAAAAGAATATTTATTTTTTAAGAGTGCAAGTGAAGATACAGTGTGGTACAAAACAGTTATAGAATGTTTAAGTAAAAATAAATTACTGGCATGCATACACGAAGACAAAATTTTTATAGCAAAAGAATTTTATTCGGGTTATTTTAGTACCTTGGATTTTTTGATTTATATTTATGGGAATTTATTAGCAGAAATGATTACTGGTAAAAAAATGAATATATGACAAAGTTTTTTGGACCGTAAATAAAGCAACATTATATTTGTCTACATAATGAATTTTAAATAAATTTGTTTTTAGTATATTTTAAAATATAAATTGTCGTAAATTGCAATTGAATAATATGGTATAGAATTATGTACCTGTTTATTATTTTCATCTTCGATTACTTGATCAAGCAATAAATCGCTTTTTTGGTTTTTAAATTAATTTAAACAAACAAATGAAGGAAATGAAAGAATGACTAAGATGTGCAATTATAAAAAAGTAATATAAAGTCGATTTAATAGCTTGTTTACACAAAATGTAATGCAATGATCATCCAAACAATCTGCCTGATGTAGTTGGAACATTACATAAATCTTTATTTTCAATCCACTAACACACAAGCTGTTATAGTAAATTTTGAATATAAATTGAGTGCATTTCTTACAAAATTTGTAAAAGTTTTTTATAAAATTACTTATATGCTATTTTTTTATAAATTCTCATGTTGTTCTACAATAATTAAATACTATATTTAATTATGCACGATTTAAATACATTCTAAAGATTTTAAGCATTTAAAAATTTTAAAATATAAAATTTTATTTTGTTAAAAACAATATAGTTTATTTGGTAAACTTTGAAAAGATTTAAAGTCTAGTTCCTTGTAGAGCCTTAAAAAATGTATTTCAGTTTAAATAAAATTTTTCACACGAATCTTATGATTTTGTATGCCTTAGAGCAAAAAACCATGTAAATATGTTTTAAAATATTTTTATCTTTTTTCATTTACTAAAGTATAAAAAATTGTAAATTATTAAAATTTTATTGAATTTAAACAAAAAATTTATTTTTCATGTGAATTTACCTACCATTAAATCTTAACCATTTATAATTTACATGAATATTTATATTATACAAATTTTTCTAATTAAACTGTAATTAAAATTTTAAAGGCCATATTAACTATTTAAAATACATTTGTCGTAAGTCAAAATCTAGAGTGGAATATACGTAAAAGTTTCATCTCTTGTTCACATTTGTTACTTATTGTAAATTGAGACTTAAAGCTAACCATCTATCAGCAGTGAAACGGTTGTTTCACTAAAAGTATAAATAAAAATTTTTTATCAAGAACATAAACTCCGAACTAAACCATTGAGAGGAGTTTGTCGGATCTGACATCATTTTTTAATAAAACGCGCGTTTCTAATTAAAAAATGGTCAGAAACCTATTAATGCAAATTTTTAAAGGCAGTTCACCATTTTTAAAATTTAAAACAACTTTGTAATTTATTTTACAATATTAAAAGCTCACGTACGAATAATGCCAAAATTATAAGCCATGTATACAACAACTATGTTGTGGACATAAGCACGTCAGCTTTAAGATAAAATAAGGGATCAAATATTAGATTAAATATCTGCTCTTACCCCCAACTGCTTTATACAGAAGATCACATGATAATCACGTTTTAGCTTATTTATAAATAGTGATTTTGCATTTAGAGGATACTTTAAACAAGAATAAAAAACAAAATAAATTGTTTAAATTTCGACAAACTAAGTCCTTTTTGTTTGTGTTTTTTAATAAATATGTGTTACTATTTGATGGAACCTAGGTCGGAACAATGTTTGTTTCGGATAAAAACATTGTATAGACTGAGATGTGTGAAAGAATGCTTTTTAGTGAAAACTATATTTATTAATGAAACCTTTCTTAAACAATTTTTCCTCCTTATTTTTCATTAATAAATAGTACTTATGTTTGATGTATCATCCTAACACCAATAGTATCGCAGGATGAATAAAAAAGAAGACAGTTTCATTCTTTCTTATATGTTATTGGTTGTGCGTGCAAAAACCATTATTAATTTAATATTAGCAGTGACAATTTAAAATTTCTACTTTTTTCTGATAGCAAAAAATCAGAATAAATCAGTCTAAACAAAAAGTTATTAAATTAAAACTATAAAAAAAATACTAAGATCAATACTTTGTTATAAAATAAAATTTAAAGCGGCTTCTTTTTGACAAAAAACTTATAATTAAAGTCAAAATTTTCTAAAAAAAGTGTAAATATAAATAAATTTAGATAATGAATAACCCCATTTGAGACCATGAATCTTGTTGTTTTCTTGCTTAAAGCTATAAATATGTCTGAATTAGACACCTTTTTAGATTTATACGAAAATACAACATTTGCGATGCTTTCATTTGAAAATTCTTTTAAAACGAAAAATTTACAAGATCATATTAATAACATTAAACAATACAATACGACAATACTAAACAATGAAGCATTGATAGAAGAAAAATTACAATTATCTTATGACAATTTAAAAAAAGAATTATACAGTAAAGCTAAAAATTTAGAAGGGATACAAGCTTTTTTTAAAACAATTACAACAGAAATCCATAACGTTGTTAAAAACGATTCAATTTTCAAACAAGAAGACTTGAATATTACAAAATTGCAATTTGTTGTTTCTAGAAACTTTTTATTTGTATCAAGAGAAGAATTTAATGAAATGAAATTTTTTTTGAGAAACTATAAAAAGAAAATTGGTCAAATTAAGAAATTAATAAAAGTATTTGATAATTTTATAGGCACTCTTTCTTTTTTATCTATGACAGATGCATGTTATACATGTGTAGAAGCATTAAATGAAGTCATAAATTGTGTTGGCCCTGACGATGACGTTTTATCTAGTTGTGATTTTGTATTAAATAAGCCTTAAAATTAAAATAGAAAAAAATTAATTTATTTATTTTAATATACAACTCTTTGATTTAAATATGCCAAAAAAGGTGCAAAAGCGTTTTAAATTGCGTTTTAAAAGAGTTCTAACACACTAAATGATTAATAAGTTAATTTACTTTAACCATTATCTGTTTTTTATGTTATTTGGATTTAATAGTGTATCATAAAGCCATTTTTTAATTTAAAAGAATTGCAGTAATTAATAAAATTATAAAGTTTTAACAATTATAAGATATACATTAATATTTAAAAATCAATGTATTGTAAATTTTTAAAAATAAATATAAAATTTAAAAATCATAAAACATTTTTTAAAATTTAAATTATTTAATTAAAAAATATATTACGAATCTAGCAAAAATTAGATCTAACGAAGAAATTCGCATGTTTGTATCCCCAAATACTTCAAAGTACTTGAAAGTTAAATTATTAATCAATTCTTTATCCATAAAAAATTCAGAATTTGTTATACATTGTAATATACGATCTCTATTATTTTTAATAATACACTTTTCAAGTTCTGTAAGTTTTATAAAATATTGATTATCTATAACGGAAAAATCAAATTTAGAAAAGTAATCTATAAAATTTAATGATTCAGGTGGAATTATAGATTCAGTAAGAGATTGTTGAACTAAAATAACACTTTCATTATTCTCTTTAAGAATATTAAGTTGTGTTTCACTATTAACTACTTTACTCATATAAAGCTTATTATCTCTAGTTACTATATACCTTGACAGACAAAGAAGCCTTGTGTGTAAATCATTAAGACATGGATTAAAAGATTTTAGTGTATCTATTTGTTTAGAAATATTCGTTGGACCAACGTAATCAGAATTTAGAGACACTATTGGATAAGATAATGATTTACGGTAGTTGAATGTACTGACTAAATTTATAATTAATAATATAATTAAAATAAATATAGTTAGAAGTAGAAATATCTTAAAAAGAAAGCAAATAATATCTTTAGAAATCATATGGGGTAGATTATAGTACAGCAGCCTATTAAAATAAGGGGAGGACTAAATTTGATAAATTGCATATTTTATAAAGTAAGATATTTAACGGTGCAAGAAAAATAATTCTTATATTTTTTAGAACAGCTTTTAAATTTATTAAAAATCTTTTGTAAATGTTAAGCTTATCTATTTAATTTTTTGTGATTATAGTCTAAGAATTACTATGAAATAAACTTTTTAGCATGTTAAATCTATATTCAAAAACACTTTAAATGTTACTTCCTTTATACAGTTAAACAATAAATGCTTAGAGAGTTTCATTTACTCAAACATTTTTTTTAAAAGTCTCTTCTGTATTGAAAAATAAAAATTTTTTAAAATAGTCAATAATAATGACGCAGGAATTATTTTTGCTGTTATTTTAAAAATTCGCATAAGTGCTAAAGGATAGGTAGATTTATTAAAAATCGCGCATACTGGTCTATTACTTAAACTTTGACATGATATTAATATTTACAACGAGAAATGATAATTGTTCACATGGTTTTTAAAATCATTTGCGTCATCTTGGTTTTCTTGCACACACTCTAAATCAAGTCACTTCAATCTTAATTGCGTTTATAAAAACCACTGTAAAAATTTTGTGGTCATAGTGATTAGGTGAACAGGATTTTAAATTTCAAAAAGGTAAAAGTTATTGTTCTTTGAGCAATAAATTTAAAATTTTGCTAATACGCTTCTAAGTGCATATTTTTGTCAATAGCACATCTTAGCGAATAGAACAAAGATATTATAATACTTTGTATTTGGTGTAGATTTTTTAATGTTTTAGATTATCGTTCAATTCTATAGATGTGTAAAATGCAATAGTGGCCATCAAAAACGCAATTTTAATTAATAAAGCTTTTTTAGATGGCATGAAATTAATTTTACTTATATTTTAAGATCTATATATTAAGTTAAGTTTAAAATTTGCATTATAAAAATGCCTTAAATAACTTTTTTATAAAAGCAATAAATATTTAAATACTAGTATGACCCAATTCTGAATCAATTACAGTTCTACAACGACTGTTCATGTCTTGAACTACTCTTTTACATGTTTCTTTATCAGTTTTATTCCATTTTTTAATAGTAAATATCTATGGTTGTAATTATTTTTTGGTTCTTTTTAAGAAACATTTATCTTAACAATTAACCATAAATTTTCGATAAAATTCAAGTCAGGTGATTGTGCAGCCAAATCATAGTGTTATATTTCTATCTATTAAAATTTTATCATAAACTTGCTTTTATGCCTAGAGTCGTTATTCTGTTAAAAATATAATTTTTTTATTTAAGTTTTTATCTGTACATGTTAAATTTGTGTCTAAAATTCTTGCATACTCTCTTGAATTTATTATCTTCTTAATTTTATGTTTATTCCCGACCACACTTCTGAAAAACAGGCCCATACATGATATTATCTTCCCAATACTAAACAGTTGAGGTAAGATTTATTTTCCTTCGTACATTTCTCTACCATCAGATCCATAAAGATTTATTTAGATTCATCACTTCAAATTATACTGGACCATTTCTCATCCGACCAAGAAGAATGTTTTGCAGCCTACTCCAATCTTGACTTAATATTTTTTTTTTAAAATTGAGGTTTTTTACAAGAAACCCGACCAAAAAGCCCTATTTCACATGGTTTTCTTCTCATAGTCCTTGCGGATATTGTTTTTCCATGTTTTATTTTTTTATCCTTAGCAAATTTTGTGTTACTAAGTTTAGGATCTTCAGAAATTTTAAATCATTCTTTAAATAATATTGGGCCAACTTGATCCGATCTTTTTTTTACAAATTTCTGTTTTTTAGTTTTACTTCAAATCGTGTGATGGTTGAAAGGTGTACTCCATATTCTTTAGAAATTTCTGATTTTTCATTGCTTTTTTTAAACATACTTTAATTTCGACCTTTTCTTCAAGAGAAAGCTTTTTGCAATGGGTTAAAATTTTAATTTGTTTTTTAAAATTACGATTAAAAATATTTCTTCCAAATCAAAAATTGCGATTTTTTTGACCGGCATTTTTAATTAATTTTAAATTATTATATACTTACAAACTTTTCTTCACTAGATTTAATAAAAAACGTTTATATATTTTGTAAATTATATAATTTGTAAGTTAATATTGTCTTAATAAAAGCATTACATGGTTTTGGAAAGATTGCTTTTTTTATGGCCACTACTTGTTTAATCTAGCCGGCGGCAGCAGACCGACGCAGAGATTATGGTCGAGAAAAATTAAAAAGATTGAGCTATATAAAAAAAATTAATAGAAAATTTGAAGGTATATCAAAGAAGTTGGTTACGCACAATGTGTACAAAAAAGAAACTTGTTTATTTGGATTAACTATGTGGAATATGAAAGAACAAATTGAAGACTGCAATAGCTTTAGTTAATTTTTTTAAAATACCTCCTCGATATTTAAGAATAGATCACTTTTCCAACCTTTGAAGAATTTTTAAAATAATAAAATAGATGTTAAACTAGAAAGCAGTAGATAGTGATTTTATCTTTAATTTCTTTGTTATGAAGTGTGATTCTCTACATCTGTTTTACACAAAATTTTTAAAAAAATATGTTTGGATTAAAAAGAACTTAGGGCTTGGTTCTATAAGGGGACTATGTCCCTAAAATCAAGGAATACTCTCACAAGCGGTTGGTACTTTAACATAAATTGCTGTATTTTGAATATCTACAAACTTACAAAAAGCACAGGAAAACGTATTACAACCAATTGTAAAACTAGATGACTACTACCAAAGAACCATCTAAAACGGGAGAACAAGTACAAAGTCTCAGTGAACTTATTAGAAAGCCAAAATTGCGCAAATAATCTTAAAAGGTTAAAAATTTGTAGAAAATGACTGTCTATTAACATTCCTAACCAAATTAAACTTCTCTTAATCTCAAATACGTTTTTATTGCTTACAATAAAATAGTGGTATTTCGAGATAAAATTAAGATCGAAAACAAAATTAAGGAATACTACAATGAGATTTCTTGTCACCTCTCTTGTTTTTACTATCTATGGATCCGTTCAATAGAAAACTTTATATGTACTATGGATATAGTCTCATCTTTAAAAATAATTTAAAGTACGTTTATTATAATATTCAATCGTTTTATTATTTATGTTTCTTTGTATTTTCTTTTTCATCACTTCCTTTAAAAATTATTTTTATTATACGCTTAAATTAATTTATAACAAATATACCAAAATATATATTTAAAATTATTTAAATAAAACGAATGTTATGACAAAGGTCATAAAAAAACTTAAATTTAAGATATTTAAAAGTAGGAATGCAGTTTATTGTACTAAAAAGAGCGCAGGTCAACCTTTTTAACAAGGACGAGAATATGTTGAGAAAGATGTTATAGAGGAAAAAGGTGGTCAGAGCTGATAATGCATTATCTTCAAAAACAACTGTTGAAACTAAATGCATTGTGGGAGTAAAGCTAATAGTTATAGGTTTGCTAAGGGTCATAAAGGCCAACCTTGGCATTTGTATCGTAAATCTATGTAATGAAGAAATTTAAAGTCCCAAATATAACTCATTAAATTATTATTTTTTTAATGATTGTTCTTATTTTAATCAAAATTTTATCTAAAAATTTTAAATATTTTAATTTCATTTGATTTTGAATTAAACAAAAATTTTTTAATTAAATTGTAAAATAATTTTTAAGGCTACATCTGCCGCTTAAAATCATATTTTAATGAAATGTGTACTTTGGTGTAATAATATGTCAAAAATTTTATAATGCAAAGTGTCAAAAGCAACATACTATATCTTTAGTTTAAAGCAGCTTTGAAATCTATATTTGTGTTTTAATCAAAAAATATTTTAATTTAAAAAAACTCATCCAATGAAAACTAATTTCAAAATTATCAGCTATCAATAAAATGATTAATTTTTCTTTTATGTGTTTCTTATTACAAGCTACCTGTATTATCTCGTTTTAAAATAAAACTTTAAGTCATATTTGCGTATTGCGTTATTGATTTAAAATAAATGTTACAGTTTTTAATCAAATTTTGTGATGACAATTATAAAATTAACAATTTTCTACTGTTAGTAAGCATGCTGCAATGACACACTTTACGATCAAATAATTTAATTTAAAACTTTCAAAAAATACATAAGAATAACATTTTGTTGTAAAATATTGAAGTTTACTTTAATCTTATTACTTTTAGATATAATTTTAAAAAAAAATTTTTAAAAAATTATTTTAGGTAATTTATACCCTTATTGAAATTATGGATTTTATTATTATTTTTTTAATTGGAATAATAAATATGTCCAAGCTAGGAACTCCGATAGATAATACTAAATGCTATATTATATTAACAACACAAAATTTTGATATAGTGAGTACAATAGATTCAATTTATAAAATTAGACAATACAATAAAGAGATTCTAGACAAGGAAGCATTTATAGAAGAAAAAATACAATTAACTTTTGACAATTTAAAAAAAAAATTATATTACAAAACTGAAAATTCAGAAGAACTTAAAGTTTTCTTTAAAACATTTTTGCAAACAATTCATAGTGTTGTTGAAAGCAATTCTATTTTTAAACAAGGGAGATTAAGTATTGAACAAATACTGTTTTTTGCTATTGATCCTGGTGTATTAATGACATTAGAAGAATTTAAAGCGATGCAAAATTTTTTAATTAAATATGAAAAAAGCATTTTGGCAATTAAAAATTCAATAAAAGCATACGATCTTTTTTTCAACAAGCTTCATTTTCTATATATGACTGATGAATGCTATACATGTGTAGAAGCGCTAAATGAAGTTATAATTTGCATTAATCCTGGCGATGACGTTGTATCTAGTTGTAAACTAGTATTAGATATGCTGTTGAAGCTAAAATAAAAAAGTTCTTTACTTAGTAATTTTGATCTATAATCTTTTTTAAAAAACCTTTTAAATAATTTACTGCATTTTTCAACAAAATTGACCCAAAAAAAAACTAAAAACGTTTTAATTTGCGCTTTTTAAAAAAGCACAACATACTAAAAGATTAATAAGTTAATTTACTTAAACAACTACCTGTTTTTTATGTTATTTAGATTTAATAGTGTATCGTAAAGCCGTTTTTTAATTTAAAAGAATTGCAGTAATTAATAAAATTGTAAAGTTTTAACAATAATAAGATAATATTTAACGTATTTAAATAACTGTTCTGTTCTTAAAAAATAGTTCCAAAATATTTTTTATAATAAACTCCTAATGACCTTCTCTATCAAATATAAATGATTAATTGTTTTTGTTATCTTATTTATATAAAAGTACAAAGTATTGCTTCTCTATGGGTTAGGAGAAATTATTTAAATATTAAAGAAATTCTAAAAAGTTTTAAATAAAATTAAATTTGTAATTTGTAAGGAAATACACAACATTAATATTTAAAAATCAATGTATTGTAAATTTTTAAAAATAAATATAAAATTTTAAAATCATAAAACATTTTTTAAAATTTAAATTATTTAATTAAAAAATATATTACGAATCTAGCAAAAATTAGATCTAACGAAGAAATTCGCATGTTTGTATCCCCAAATACTTCAAAGTACTTGAAAGTTAAATTATTAATCAATTCTTTATCCATAAAAAATTCAGAATTTGTTATACATTGTAATATACGATCTCTATTATTTTTAATAATACACTTTTCAAGTTCTGTAAGTTTTATAAAATATTGATTATCTATAACGGAAAAATCAAATTTAGAAAAGTAATCTATAAAATTTAATGATTCAGGTGGAATTATAGATTCAGTAAGAGATTGTTGAACTAAAATAACACTTTCATTATTCTCTTTAAGAATATTAAGTTGTGTTTCACTATTAACTACTTTACTCATATAAAGCTTATTATCTCTAGTTACTATATACCTTGACAGACAAAGAAGCCTTGTGTGTAAATCATTAAGACATGGATTAAAAGATTTTAGTGTATCTATTTGTTTAGAAATATTCGTTGGACCAACGTAATCAGAATTTAGAGACACTATTGGATAAGATAATGATTTACGGTAGTTGAATGTACTGACTAAATTTATAATTAATAATATAATTAAAATAAATATAGTTAGAAGTAGAAATATCTTAAAAAGAAAGCAAATAATATCTTTAGAAATCATATGGGGTAGATTATAGTACAGCAGCCTATTAAAATAAGGGGAGGACTAAATTTGATAAATTGCATATTTTATAAAGTAAGATATTTAACGGTGCAAGAAAAATAATTCTTATATTTTTTAGAACAGCTTTTAAATTTATTAAAAATCTTTTGTAAATGTTAAGCTTATCTATTTAATTTTTTGTGATTATAGTCTAAGAATTACTATGAAATAAACTTTTTAGCATGTTAAATCTATATTCAAAAACACTTTAAATGTTACTTCCTTTATACAGTTAAACAATAAATGCTTAGAGAGTTTCATTTACTCAAACATTTTTTTTAAAAGTCTCTTCTGTATTGAAAAATAAAAATTTTTTAAAATAGTCAATAATAATGACGCAGGAATTATTATTGACTATTTTAAAAATTCGCATAAGTGCTAAGGGATAGGTAGATTTATTAAAAATCGCCTATACTGGTCTACTACTTAAATTTTGACATGATATTAATATTTACAACGAGAAATGATAATTGTTCACATGGTTGTTGCAATCATTTACATTATCTCCTTTTCTTGTATAGAATTTTGACTAATTCACTTAAATACAAATTACAAGGAAAAAGGGATATTTTTTGAAAACAAGACTTATTGTTTAATTGATTAAACATCAAAAGACTTATTTCTAACTTTTTGCATTTATAAATGGAAAGAACGATGCGTATAAGTAACAATGTACTATTACTATATGTAGATTTTTTTAAAATAAAGATTACAAATTTTAACAGGAGGATTTTATGAATAAAAAAAAGAAAACTAAAAAAAACCAATTTAAAAATATATTTATGTACATTTTTAAAGCTTAAATTCTAACATTTTAATGTATTACTGTTGTAACCTTTGGTAAGGTGTCCAAACTTTAAGTGTTGTTCTATACAAGAATAAATAAATAATCTTCTATTACTAAATATTTTATTATCATTAAAATTATAAGTCATCTTGTGCCATAATTATCGCTGTTGGTGTTCTTTTTGTTGTACTAAGCTTCTTCTTGTTTTTTTATTGAATTTTGTATCCTTTTTTTTTTATTTTTTTATTTATAACAAAATTTAGTAGATGTTAATTTTAAGCTGCTGTTAGAATTTTAGGCTGCTGTTGAAAATGCAAAAAAATAAGGGTTAAAAAATATAAAAAAGTACTTTTTATTCTAATTTATCATACTGAAGAAATATTAAAATTAACGCTTTTATTTTATATTTTTCTACTGAATATTCCTATAAAAATTATAAAAGATATTCTGATTGCTTCCCTAAAAAAAATAGTCCTTTTCTTCTTATATAATAGAGCGAGACCATAAGCCTTCAATATTTTTAGTATGCACAATAAGATTGACAAGATCAACGAAGTTAAGACTATAATTAACACTCAAATGATTCATAACACGAATTTCAGAAAGTGCTTTCTCAAACGCGCGCCATTTATCGGTTATAATTAATGAGCCCACGGCAACAATAACTACAATAACTCTTGTCATTGTATCAGTATTGCTATTTTTAACTGACACCCCAAAACAATTTTCTTGTCCGCGCTTAATATTTCCAACATACAATTAATCGTTCCTAATTCTTCCTCTATTGTATTTTCTTGTAAAATAAGAATTCGTCAATCTCCACGATTTTTCGAGAACAATCATCATTATATCCACCAATCCTGCGTGTTATACTCAACAAATGACTTCATTGACAAAATCTGTAATCTTATAAACGTTCTTATTAAATTTTTCTACCTCAAAACTTATTTCTCCGGGTGTATTTCCTCAATTATATTTATAAATTTTTAATAAAAGTTCTCTAAATCTTAATTTAAGATTTTCAAAAAACAGAACCCCTTCTGATGCTAGTGGTACATCTACATTGTGTGCAACAGGTTCATAACCATCCAGCCTCGACTTTTTTTATTAATTGCATAGAAAAAAATTCTTTACACCTTTCGCAAAATTGCTTATTTCGTATAAGCTTGTGCCTTGCTAAAAAAATAAGCAAATTATATTGATCATTAGTAACTATTCAGGATTATAGACTTTAAAAAAAACGTTACACACATATCGCGGTATTAGACAAAATATTTTTAGTTAAAACAGTTCCTTCTTTGAAAAATGTTGATATGGAGGGGCAATAAAAAAATACATTTTCAACAGCAGCTTGAAATTCACTTCTACCCGAAATTTGCTAAAATTTTTTGAAAGAAATTTTCTATAAAATGTGGTGAATAGCGCAATTATTTAGGTCAAAAAAAGTTTATACACTGTGGTATTACAGCCACAGAAAATATTTTAAGTCAAAATTTATTTAATTATTTTCTTATTCTCTGTATTTCCGATAGGTAAAAATAAAATTAAATATTGTAATAAATAAATTAACACAATTGACATGTGGTAAATTATAACACATAGTTTGTTTCTTTTGTAAAAGCAGGAAATTTTAAGCTTCTTTGTAATAATTTATGCAAAAAAAATTTACAATAATTGTAATTAAGCAGCTTTTATATTACAATAATACCAAACTTCTATATATAACGATGCACTGGGATATTCTCAGGGAATGCGGCCAGTGGCTAGGTACCTCTCTATAATGCTCACTTTTTTGCTGTCTATCCATCCGGTTTCTTGAAATAAAAGTTATTTTTATTGTTTAATGATTTATTTTTGTATTTTCTACTCTCACTTCCTAAGATGTTTTCTTTAGGGATAGTTTGTGAGAATTTTTTTATTTTTAGTTTTTTTTATAAAATATTTTAACCAATAAAACTTAATAATAATTATCATAAAGAAAGCGAACAATTATCATACTTAAAAGGTTGTGACCAGAGTTTCTGTTACAAATTGTCTTTAACAATTAATTATTAAAAAATGCATGTGGTTATTGACTATAATACGACATATACATATTATAAAAAATTATTTAAAAGCTTTTATCCTTTTAAGAATTATTTCCATTAAAATTTTGCAAAAGCAACAATGTTTTGTTATGCAATTTTTCCTATAGATATAAATTTATATCTTTGATTTTAAATATAAAATATTGTGTAATTGGGACTCTACGCTATTTTTTAGAAAATAAGGAGATAAACAATGTTAGAATTTTAGTTAACAAATGTTTTTAAGAATAACAACTTTTGAGTAAAACATTTTAAAAAAATAAATTATTTACATCACATTGTTTTTAAAATAGTTAAATATTGCAAAAATCTTTTTTTAAAAGTTAAAAATATTTTATATCAACTTAACTGTGAAAAGTTTTTAAAAGTTTAAATTTATCCCATATGCTTTTTATACATTTAGCACAAAAAATCTTTGCAACAACTTTTGATGAAAACTATGTTAGAAACTATGAGATACCAAATTTAAACAATCATGAAGTCAAACAATTTCAAAGAATCGAATCTTTTAATAAATTATCGTATAACGATAAACTCGATATATTAAGTCAATGTAATATTCTACAATTGTTTATTAGAGAATGGAATCGAAGATTAACAAATATTTCACATTTTTTTACAGAATGTGTCTACAAATATAAATTTACACATGATTTATTACAAGAACAAATAACTTATATGAACCAGTCAGAAATTTTAAAGTTAAAATCTTTTGTAAAAAATATTGGGTTTCAATTGGTAACAAATGCAACAAAATGGTATAAATCTAAAGAATTTTTTAAGTTAAATGACAGTATTATTGACAATAAAAAGAATAAAAAAATTAAAACCAAGGATATATTATTTATATATAATTTAAAAACTTTAAGTTTTTTTAATGAATATTTACAGCACAATATTGAAGTAGTAAAGATGTGTCGAGAAATAAAGCCTATGTTGGAGATATTATTTAAAAAAATTGAACATACAACTTATAAAAAAGCTGTTATTTCTTATATTGAATTTGTTGAAAAAATTTTGGAATATCAAGTTATCAAAGAAATTACAAATCTTATTAATATTCTACCCATTTTGGTTTATAGGGGTGATTAATAGACGCTAAACTTTTTATTTCTATTTTATAAAGACAAATTTAATATAAGTAATTAAGTTGATAGAATAAAGTAGGTAATTAAATTTATAGAAATAAAAGTTTTTTATTTAAAGTAAAGTTAACTTTTGTTCTGATCTTTTATAACAGTTATTTAATTTATTATTTTAAAAAGGAGGGTCAATGGATTTTAAAAGAAACCAAGAATTTTATAGAACAAATAATATGATTAATTAAATTTTATAAAACTAAAATTTATAATAAAAGCCATAGAGCTTTACTTTTTAATTGTGCTTGTCTCTTTAGGACATTTCAGTTTTATTTACAAATCATTTTTTTCAGACCACACAGAAACTGATTTATTTTATACAATTTAGAATAGCAGTAATAGATTACTATACCTTCCCTTTTTTACATAATTATAAAAATCAATATTATTTTATATTTTAAGTCTTTAAACAGCTTATTATTATTTTTTACACAATAGCATCGTGATACGACAAGAATTTAGTTGTATTTTTAAAGTTAATTTTCATTTTATTAGAAATTTTATATTATTTCGTCTAAATTTTTAAAATAAAGCAAGTTTTTTAGTCGTTGAAAACTTACTAATTTACAACATAAAGTAGAGTAATATGATATTGCTAAACAAGAAAAAGTGCAATACCAATTCGAAAAAATTGCAAACTGTAAAATTAGCAACAATTGCTTTTATAAGATTATTATTTTGTGTATAAATATAAAGACTTTAATTAAAAAAAATTACTACTAAATTAAATTGATATAAAAAGATAAAGAAACGTTTTTTCTACAAAATTGATATGAATAATGTTTATATTTTGTTTTTCAAATATTGTTAAACTAGAAAAATCATAACGATCAATAAACATGATTTTTTTGACATGTTGACAAATAATTTGATAAAAAATGCTAAAAGCGATGAGTCAATATGTATGTCTACAAAGTAGAATAGATAAATTTATAATGGAATTATTATAAAAACCTTTCGCGGAATCTTTCAAAACAAATTAATGTAAACACGCGGTTTTGGGACATCGATAACTTCTAAAATATCAATTTATGAAATTTTATCTCAAGATTTTTTGACATGTGTATTTAAAAATTACAAATAGTGCCCTTTTTATGTCAATAAATAGGAAAGCAGTATTAATAGTAGTCGGGTGTTTATTATTTTTATTTGTAGTGATACCTATATTGGCTAGTAAATTAAAAAACATTTTTGCTCACCAGACAATAGAAGTTGTTTCAGCTGATCAAGACTTTCCTTACGACTTATATGTTAAAAACAATGTGGGAAAAGAAGTATATCATGAAATTGTGTTTTATGAACTTTTCCGAGGATTGAGATATTTAATATTTGATAAAATAAAAAAAACTAGTATCGCTATTTCATCGCTCAACAACACACAAGAAAGTACAAAATTAACAACAAGTAAAAATAACAATAATTTAGAAAAGTCAATATTTGAATATCTTAAAACCCTTGAAGAAGACATTTTTAGAAACCCTAATTTGCAATCAAAATATTTTTCCCCCAAAGCTGGTCTTTTTAATTTTAAGTTAAAAAATAAAGTGCTAATTTTAGACGCATCAACACAAGAAAAAATAAGATTGTCAGCAGATTTTATACGTTTGATTGAACCAATAGATTCAGATTCTGAGGATTTTTCAATTGAAAAAGATTTTTTTGATAGACTTTTAATAACAAAATTTGGGAAAATTTCTGTTATAGAACTTATGTTTGCAAATTTAATTACCCATTTGCAGCTACAAAAAATTATTATATAAAACTTTGAATTTTTATTTTGTATTTATTTTTGTTTAACGTTTAAATGTGTTTATTAATATAACTTCTGTGTTTATTACTAAAATTATGAGCAAATAATACCATAAATGAATACACAGGATGGTTTGCAGGCAAATGTTACTTTAAACATTATACTGTACTAGAAATTATTGATTGTATTCGAAACGTAAATTTATCTATTGCCGTATAAAGACTCTTGTGCTCATTATAATGGTGTACTGGATATCAGACAATATTTCAATAGGCCAAAGTTGCAGATTAGCACATTTGTTTTCCCAGTGCTTATACTAGCATAACAGATAATTTAACAAAAGTAGCCCGCAAATAAACAAATAATTGATATATTTGTTTATAATTTAATAAATAAAAAAGGCAATTTTTAATCTATTAATATTTTTATGAACTGAATTATTTGTTTCGTGTAAAATAGTCTATTAATTTATATGTTTTGCAATAGTAATTAAAAATAAAATTTTTATTTGTTTTTTTAAATAAATTTTTATCGATAGTAAGTTTTTAAAAAAACACTTCAATAACATCTTTTCATTATAAGAATTCTTTTAACATACAAAATGTGCTTAAAAAGGGTTCTAAATATAAAAAATACTTTTTGTCAATTATTTATCAATAAAGCATCAGAGTAAATTTAAAAAATCATTTTAAGAACATATAATAAATTCAAATTTATTATTTCAAAGCTTTTATACTTTTTCTAAAAAAATAATTGATTTGTTTAATAAAAAAATCCGCAAACTGTACTCCTTATCTGCGTTCATTATGTGATGATAAATAATATTTAAAACGAAAAATTTATGTTTATTTTTAGTGACATAACATTTTAAAGGTGTTTTTTCTTTAACAATATAAATTAAAATTTTTGCTATTTAAATAAAAATTAGGATATCTTAAGGCTGAAGAATACATTAGAAATTCATATTTGACCCTGCCGATTAAAAATCTTTAACCTCTAAAATAAGGTGCAAAATTAAGAAGGAGAAAAGATTTTTAAAGCAAAAAGTAATGTTTTTTGCTTAAAATTGAAATTATACAGATAAATAAATTAAAAATTTAAATCAAAGTCGGTTTTTGTTAATTTAAAAGAGATTTAATTATTTTTTCAAATACAAAAGATTTTTGGTTTCTTTTAACCGCAAACAATACCAGAAAATTACTACTTTTTGAATATGTTCTATTTCTGGCAGGAATATTTAATTTTACACCTGCCCATGTCCCTTCTATTGTATTTTTATGTGTATCTGTTTGGTTATTAATAAAACCAATGTTGTGATATACAGTATGATGTGTATATTCTGTAAATTCACTCGATTTGTCGTATCATTTCCAGCAGTCTTTATGTATAATACTTCCTGGCATGACATACTTTTTAATTAGCGCCGTAAGTGTATCCGTCTTTCTGTTATTTAATTTTAATTAATATAAATTTTTGATAAGGAGCACGTTCAACCATTCCTAGAACTCATACACCATCAACTCTGTGCCCTTTATGGTATTTTTGCTTGCCGAATTTCGACTCATCTATTTCAATAATTACGCCAGGTCCTCCTATTTGTGTATTACCTTTTATATTTTGTTTTGCAATACAACCGATTGTTTTTTTACTTAATCTTGTAATAAAATTTATAGATTTAATCAAATTGTTATGCAAAAATAGAAATTTAATTCTCGCAACTACAAGCCAATTAATTTTATCATTACAAAATGGGTTTTTACTTGAAATTTTTGTTTTTTTCCTACAAATAGCACGAGTACCTTGTAAAATATTTTGTCCTTAATTACTTTTTGACTTTGCCTTAACACTGCGAGCAAATCTTTCTATAATAATATTAAAAACAATTTTTTTAAATGTATTCTCTATTTCATCAAAATAAATATTCATTTTTAGAGCTATAAAAATCACAAAAACAATAAATGATTAAAAAAAAAGCAATTAAATCTCTATACAATTAACAAATACCGACTTATTCTTAAAATTTAAATTATTTATTATATTTAAATTACAATTTTATACAAAAAGCATTCCTTTTTCACCTTCTTGATTTTGCACCTAATTTTAAGAGATTATAATTTTTAATCGGCGAGGTCAAATATGAATCTCTATTGTATCCCACCTCTTATTTTATAGTACTAACGCAGCAGAATTTCCTCGCATGATAATATGCGATGACACAATGAACCACTACGAAACATGCATCTATAACTTTACCTTAACTAGGGAATAATATTTAATAAAAATCATTTTGTTTGAGAGTATACGAGTAATAAAGAGCAAAAATATGAATATGCCCACGTATTTAAGATATCATGTATCATTTTTATGACACAATCTTTTAGTCATATTTTATTTTATAACAAGTAATCTCAGAGATTACCAGCTTGCTCTTTAGATAAAAATACGGCACTACTACATCTTTCCACCCCCTCCGAATAACTACGTTCACTTTAAAAAATTCTGTACGTAGTTATTTGGAGAGGAGTGGAAAGATGAAGTAGCGCCAAACATTCCTTTTAAAAAATTAAAAACTTTCAAAGAGGAAAGGTAAAAATCATATCAAAATCTCTGTGTTTTTTATGATATAGTAGTGATGATATAAGTGTATAACATAATATTTGATATATAAAATAGCTATAAGTTCTTTAAATTAAATATTTAGAGCACATTGTGCCATTTTTCTAATGACAAATTATTGTTTTTATCTCCTGCATTTCAGAAAATTCCAATATAGTCAAGTATTATTGAATTGCTAAGGAATTTTTTTATATATCTCTGAATTGATTAATTGTTTTTATTTTCCAATGTAAGTGTAGTGATAATTAATAACAATCTTATTACACGGCATTATAATCAGAATATTAAAATAGTATTAACGCATAACTGTTAATTTTGCTTGTTTCGGATATGATAAAACATAAGGTTAAAAATAAAATAAATATGTGAATGTACTACGATTATATAATAACTAGCTTACGCTATCCCGTTTAAAACGGGACTCAAATTCGATACGTGCTTTTTTTGTTTAAATTATGTGTATATGTCCCCTTGTGC